AAGAGTGATAATTAGGTCTGCTCTTTTTAATCATTTTTTTTTTTTGTAAATTTTCTGTGCTTCTATTATCTTCTTTCTTTTCACTGAAGTCTTGAAATCAAAGTGTATACTTTGTTTCAAAATAAATTGAGAAAAGAATGGGAGAGGAAATTAGGAGGATCCACCATGCTATTTCACGTCAAGAGCAATATAAGCCGTCATTGGCATTATTCGCATTGGCATTAATTCTATGTGCTCGTTTTAAAATTAAAGGCTCTCTAAGAAGTCTCTTTATAAAGAGTAAAGAAAAAAAATCTATGCATAGGCGAATTTGAACATCTTCGCTAAGAGACTTAATCAAGTATGTGCAAAAGTGTCATTTTATCACGTCATGCATCAGTTCTGCCTCCGCGGTCGAGAAGATGACATTTGTAAAGGCCAGGTATTTCGATGCTCGATCACGTTTATGTAATTTATCACAAATTGTATAGGCTCTCGTGTAGGAAGAGAAGATAATTCTGCATTATTTACTTAGTACTAGTGAATGGTCGCGTATGAGATGTACAATATTACTGAGACTTGTCATTATCAGAAATATACGATTTCTGTAAAATACAGCTTCGTTCTCGAGATATTCTCTCGTATCCTCCTAAGTTTTCTTTCTAAAAAAGAAATCGCGGAGCGTGTTTTTCTATAAAAATTTTTATAATTTAAATAGAATAAATTTAAATAGTAATTATGTATTACCACAGAAAGAAACTTATGATCATTATCATGTAATTTAAATATTGCTTCAAGTATCGTGATTGCGACCGAAGGAAGGAATCGATCGAAATGTATTCCGGCAGTTTAGTTGCGTGATTTATTTATTCATCTGAAACTGACCTTCAAATAAATCTGGAATCGGCATAATTAGCGTATTATATACCATTATCGCTTTGTTCGTTCGAGGAAATGAGACGCGGGAGCTTAGATTCTGTGAAACGGCATCTCGCTCATGTCCTAAGATCGATAAATCAACACGCGCGATTTCATTCATACGTACACTCGCATACATTCCCATATACAATTCCGCACTAATTTATATATGTATAAATCTATGTATATGCTCTCTGTATCGTATTATGGGGCACTTAGAAAACTCGTTAATTCGTTCTCCTCATTCTCGTTTTCGCATGTCGACTCTGCACCGGATATTCATGCACGTCGTGCGAGACATTAAACTAATATATATTCTTTCTTTATTATTCGAGGATTGCTTTGTCTAGAATACGGAGAAATAAAAAAATAATGCACGTATGCGAATGTATTTCTTTTTTTCTCTTTTTTTTAAATATTTTAATGTACTTTCGATAAACGGAATTTTCTTCAGAGGAGAATAAACTCGATAGAAAAGAATTTGTTGCAAAAAGAAATACGTGAGTGAAATTGCAAGCGAAATTCATTTTTGCGAACTGTTTTTTTTTTTCTATAAATCGAATCGAAATTACGTATTCATTAATTACATCCTGCAATCCTATTAAGATTAATTTTTTTTTTAAACTCCCGATTGATTCTTCTGCGAGATTTTCAATGTGGACAAGAATATTCGAATTTTTTAAATTGCGACTTCAAAATTTCGAGAGAGAAGTCGTTCGAAATGAGAAATGTTCAGGCCTCACTCATTCGTCTCTCATTTTTTTGTTTTACAAACTCGTCAATTGTTAATAAAACTCTCGCAGATAACACCCTGTTTCCTGTTCCTCGACACCTCTGCATCATACTGAACGACGCTCCGTCTGCTCAAAGAAAAAGGATGGGAAAGATATAAAAAAAAAAGGAGAAAAAAAAAGAATAATATGTTACATGTATACGGTACGTACATACATACATACACAATATATATATATATATCTATATATGTATAAAAATGCGCACATTTTTCGCGCGCGAGATAATTTGGCAAGGATTAAAATATCATAATTATGTGTACATTACAAATGCCTGTGTGTACGTGTATGTGTATGTGTATGAATGTGAATGTCATTGTTTATCGCTGGGGAATAACGAATTCACGATATCAAGATTTGCGTCTTGTACGTATAACTCTAAAACACACATGCACGCACAGAACATTCCCGACCGCGGAGCGTTACAATTTTTTTTTTCATATATATATTTTTAATTTTTTATTTCATATATATATATATAAATAATAAAAATAATATTACAATAATATAATTACAAATAATTAGTTTATCCGTAATATACTATTTTAATATTTCACTAGATTTTTTTCTTTAATAATGTCCCTCGCGGGCTCGCGTGAAATCAATCTCACCCTTCGACAGCGAGCCATAAAAGCGCGAATGTGCGGAGAGCGGTCATATAATGCTCGATCTATTTGATTTTATCACAGGAATCCGCTTCCGACCGCCGTTCTCTCGCATCAATTCGACACTATCGCCTCCAAATTAATAATTCTTCCGCAAACGATACGGCAAAGTGGCGGATAACACGAGCCATTGGGCAGCACAATGATATAAGTCATAGTTTTGCGGAACGAAAGAGGCCCTCTAGAAGTGCTAAGAGACATAAAATATTAAATATGACAGGAAATCCAGCTGCATCATCACAAAACCTTTTCTACGCCATTCTCTATAATACATAAAAACAGATTACAAATTTGATATTTATATAAAATAATTGTAACCTATTTGAATAAATCTAATGTAATATTTTCGGCGATCATTTGCTAAATTAAAAAATAGTTTAGTAAAAAGAATTTAAAGTTTAAGCATAATTACACTACTGACTTGTACCATTATTTCGTTCGATAACTCATAATGCTCGATAAACGCGGAGTTCCATTTCTTCGTAATTGAAAAAATTGATTTCGTTCCTTTTGTAAATTATACTTTCGACAATTTTTCCATACTTTTTCTTTTCCCTATTTCATCGTATGAAGTCTCTGACGCATATGTTTCATTTTAAATGCCGAAAGTGTAAGCGTCACATTCTTATCACACTCTCTTATCCTTATCGCCTTATACCCTTATTTACACCTTACGTTGCAACGAACGTTCTTCGCGCGTCTTCCATGCTATTAATTCTATCGCAGATTAATGTTACAGTGCTACGGCTCGGTTTCACGATAACGTAACTCCCTCGAGATCCTTTCAGGCCATTATTACTCGTTAATTGCTATTTCCATTTGATTGTATCACGTTACGTGTTGCACCAAAGGGATCGTATTCGCTGTCGGCGAAACCGAGCGATGAAGAACACTGATATTCGTTAATAAATCTCGCATATAAGTGAGCCAAGTTAAATCCTTGTCCGGACTTACGGAGTCGTCGCCGCTCTTTGTGATTCCTTCTAATGACTATCAAAAAATAATAATATAACATCAATGGATCGCGTTTGACGCGTAAAATATGATTAACGTATATAATACGTAGTCAATTACATGTTAAAATTCTTGATTTTAATTAACTCGTGGCATATGTACGGGGCCGCGGTTAATCAACAAATCCATTCGTGATAGTGCAACGTCACGAAGACAAGGATTCTGATTGTTCGTGCCTTTTTTCCGGGTCACGCATCCGGGGTTCACATAATCGAAATCCCGGATTGCTCAGAGTGAACACTTAATAAATACTCAATCCCACTTCTGCTCGTATACTCCGTTCGATCCATTTTACGTATTTCGGGTATGTAATTAACATATCTCTCTCTCTCTCTCTCTTTCTTTTCACACGATCGTTTTGGATTTGCATTTGCTAACAACGCACTGTCAACGTACGAATTACATTATCTTTTAATCAATGCAACAATCACGCCGTTTGATCGATGATTTCATCTTTGGATGCTTATGTAGCGCTTATATTAAACGATGCGTGTAAGGGAAAAAAATGAACTAGGATAACTTTACGATATAACTTCAGATATGCAAATAAAATAGACAAAAAAATAGAATAGATAAAAAAGAACAAAAAAGTTTTAGAAAATCCTCGAGTTGGCAGTAATATTCTTATGAGAGAGTGCATCTAAAATTTGGAAAGATTCGATCTATAATTGGAACAAGTCATCTTTCCATTCTTTCGATAATGCACCTGCGCACATTATTAATAATTTATCTGTTTAAAGTCTGTCTGTCTTTTAATCGCGAGCGGTAGAATAAGCTCGACCGCGTATCTAAAATTCGGAAGGACTTGATCTGGAACTGGAATAACTGCATTTATCCTACCACTGGCGATTATCTATTTATGCAGAAACTCGAATCTTGGCAATTGGCAGTAAGAGTCTGATATAACGTTAATGGTACATCTAAAATTCGGAAAGATCCTTAAACAATGATCCATAACAGCGTATTATACAATAATATTACATTCGTAGTATGCAGTGCTCGTTAAAACTCTTTCTCCGAGTGCCTGTTTGTGCCTGTTTACAAGTTCGTGGAATAACGTTTATATATTTCGAAAGAAAATCTCCCTGCGAAATGATCATACGTGCCACGAGCGATGAAGGAATACACACTTGCATGATCGTTTCAAGAGAGCAAAGTGGAAAGAGAAGGGAAATCGCTTTCAGATCATCGAAGTTTAGCTCGGCGGCCATTCTTAGTTCTAAATAACATTCGATACATCGAAGTTCAAATGTCTTTTTTCGCAGCTCATTTCTGGCGAGACGAAAGCTACTGTCGTAACAGTTTAGTGAAAGCCGCACTTTCGTCTTATGCCTACGACACCTTTCATTTCACAAATAGCAACGTGTTTAACGAATCTCTCGTTACGGTTCTCCTCGCTCTTACCCTATTTATGGATAAGCGAAAAGCTATGGCCACGAGTATTCGTGTGTACCCGCTGGGTCGATCAATTAACACGACTTCAATACTCGCTAAATTACACAGTCAATTTAACGAGTCCTGAAACGGATTTCGTTCCAGAAAATGTCCTCGCTGATTTCTCAAAGCATCCCCGCGGGAACCCGAGAGATTCGCAGAATGATTCGATGCGCGATATACGCGATCAGAGTCTATCTAGTAATCCTCTCTCTTTCTTTATTCGTTTCTTTCCCATCAAGATCGCGGCTCGCAATCGGGCAATATTTACACAACGCTACGCTCAGAGTCGCAAAATGCACACGATCACAGCAAGTCATTGAAGCAACCGCCGAACCACATCACCACTATCGGCATCAGGTACGTCGTCAGCGCCCTGAACAACGACATCTTCGGCCTGCTCTCTTCTCCGCCGCTCACGGACATCGTTTGGTTGTTACTCGTGCTCGTACCGCTCGTACCACCCGTGCCCTTATGCGGTTCGATATCGACTCGCGGTGGCGTCTCGACCTCGTGGACGACCGGCGGCGATGGCTGCTTCGGCGGTTCAGGCTCCGATTCTGTACGTGGTCCCTCGTAGCCGGATCCCTCCCTGAAACCGTCCTCGTCGTCGGTGTATGTACCATCTCCGGAACCGCTGCCGGAACCGTACCACGATTCATCTGTGAAATTATAGGGATTATTATTATTATCTAAATAGAGAGATAATTATAATGTTATAATGCTTGTTATAATGCTTGTAATAACTGCTAAATAATTACCAGTATCGATCCAATCGATATCTTGTCCATTGAATGCCAATTTCAACCTGTTCGTGATGGTGGTCAGCATGAAGATTTGATCCCTCACGATAGTACTCCTCGATCCCGTACTGCGTACTTCCGGATTCATCGCTTGAAACTCACCACTCGACGATACCGGATATATATATCTGAAAAAATAACCCATACGTGTTATTACGTCATATAACACACAAAGACAACATACTTTAATGTTACGCCATTTAGTATTTAGTAGAGAACTCAATCATTATAATTTAGCGAATAAATTTTTGATAACCGAGTATGAACAAATGTTATTTATAATAACGGAAACTTGTTGTTTCTCTTACTTGTCTACGTGTGTGCCGTTCCAACATTCCTTCGTGTTACTTGGCAGCACAACCAAACCCTCATTGCACATGCGGTAAGGCAAATAGATCCAGAATTGTCGAAAATCGCGCATCCGCTGGCGTATCTCCTTCACTAGTTTGTCCAGCGCCACAGTGGAGGCGCGATCCTCCGTCAACGATTCCTGGTCGAAGTTTAAGGACTCCAGTTCCAACTCGCGATTATCTCTACGTCTACGTCTACCCAGAGTCGGCCGACCGCAACCGGTGAACACCCGCTGCGACACATCTTGGCTGCTCTCTTGGAAATTCATAATCGCTTCCGAGATCTTCAGGTTGATTGGACGCACCAGCACTTCGATATTGAATGGGCCGAGCATCCGATCGGCGAGTTTATCCAGGGCCTCTGTATTTGGAAATTGAAGAGCAAATCAATTAAAACTTGTGATTTTATCAATTTGTTCATTTTTACCAATGTGAATTAACTTCAATCTCGATTTCACTTACTTTTTATTTTTCTTCTAAAAATTAGGAAAAAATGAAGAATATAATTGACATTAAAATTAATCTACATTGGCAGAAATAGATAAGAAAAAGAAATCTAACAATTTGGATAAAATTGAAAAATAAAAATATAAAATAAAATTAAAATTATTTACGAGAAATATTTTTTTAACTTTTATACAAAACATTTTAAATGTAAAAAAATATAATATAAAGTACTGATATCGGTATATTATTATTATCTCAGTTTCTAAAATATTTGTTTTATTTTTTTAATAAAGGGTTCGTTGTGTTTGTATACGTACGGTAACGTGAACGCGATCATTTTTGTAAGAAAAGAAAAAAAAAATGCGGCGTAGCTTCCGCAGACTTTTGACGCGTATACCAGATTGCACGCGTCAATGATCCATGTTCTCACGAAATATAATAGCTGACACTCAGGCGAGAGGAAGAGAGAGATGGAGGAGAAATTGCTCACCGACGTAATGATTCCAGTCGGTGTCGAGTGCCGCGTGTTGCGCCAAGCAACCCTTCATCACGTTGGCACACATATCGTTGCACGCCAGCACGTTGTCCGATATACCGCTGCAGGCCGGACAAGCTGTCATCCTGGTCAAGGCAGCTGTGCAATCCGCCGACGGCTTCAACTACAACAAACAAAGAGTTCGTTTTAGAATTTGTGCGCAGTTGCGGTTGCGGAATAATGCCGTAAGAGCCATAAACGTACAGTGAAATTTAACGAAGTAGGACAGAACAAAATGAACAAAAATCAAAATGCAATAGAATAAAAAAAAAGAACCAAGGCAAAATTTTTATAAATTATTTTATAAATTTCTGTAATTGTTTCCTAAATATTTTATAAGTTACAATTTCATACATTTTTAAACAAGTGTAAAATAAACGAAGAAGATATCAAATCAATTTTGAAGAACTTCTCTCTCTCAAAATTTTTTTAAAATTTGGGCAATTAAGTTTTTTCTTAATTAAAGCTGAGATTTAAATTTTCATTACATAAATATAATATATACCTACTTGAGGATCGATGAGATGTTATGCAATATAATTATTAGATCAAACTGCATCAATTTGAGATTTTTATGTTTTCAAACAATATGTTCTCTTACCGATTGCATACTTTTCAGCACGTTTGCGGCGACAGTTAAGGCTTGGCTGAATGCCCTCGTGGCAACGAAGGAACGTTTAATTTGCACGCCCAATTTCTGCGGTACATCCCCGAATGGCTGCATCTCTTTCATGTGTTCGCCTACGCATTCCAGATACTTATTGTCGAAGTTGTACTGACTATTGAGCACAGTAAACATCTTTTGGTAGAGAGTGTTGAAGAAATTGTCCATGGCATCGTTGAGATCTACCTGAAATGCACGAATAACATTAGAATTCTTAATTATACGATAATTCTTCAATATAAATAAATTTGATGCCCATAAAAAAAAACACACATTACAGATATTTATACATTAAAATATATGAAAATATATATTATTATAATGTATAAATTCTTATGTGTTATAATAATATATATTTTCACATATTTTAAAATATTTGCATATGTGAATATTAGTGTAAATATCATGAATATTTTTTATAAAATTAGTTTTAATTATTTAAAATTGTCCATTAAAATAAAATAATTTTTCAATGAGAAAAATAATATGTTAAATACATAAAGAAAATGTAAAATTATAAACTATACTTTTGCATTATAAATTTAATTTTGCATTAATTGCTGTCAAGTATTAATTATGTAAATTATAATTCGATAACGATCAGTTAAAAGATACCATTTCTTTATCTCGGAAACCAGTTCTTGCAACCTTAAACAAATTGCACTGAACCCAACCATAACTTGGATTAATCGAAAGCCGACAAGACGCTGAGCTCAAGGTTCAATGGAATATTAATGACTTTCAACAATTATTGGAGCAATTAGAATACAAGAGCACTCGCTAAGAACACGACTTCAATCTTTTATATATATATATA